GTGTGTGTGTGTGTGTGCGCGTGTGCACGTGTATGCTTGGAAGAGTCTCAAATTATACCCCAAGTTGTTAAACAGTGCACATCTCTGGGGAGAGGGATTTAGAGTAATTGAGAAAGAAGAGATTGTTCTTTTAGAATTTATTTGAGCTTTAACAAGCATGTATTACTCTCCCCCCCGTCTCTCTTTTTGGTAAACAAATTACCTGAAACATGAAGATGATTTATAACTAAACTCAGACAATATTTTCTAAAACCCTTGGTATTTTAAAATTGTGATATAATTAACATAAAATTCACCATTTTAAGGTGATTTTCACTTCAGTGCTTTCATAGAGGCTGAATATAATGTTTAACCTTAAATCTAATCATCGAGTCCCTAATAATGCACGTGGGCATAGTTAAATCATACCTAGACATTTGCTTTTAATTTCAAGGCATTTTAATTTACAGACTTTTTTTTTTTTTTTTTGGCCGTGCAGCACAGCATGTGGGATCTTAGTTCCCCAACCAGGGATCGAACCCATGCTCCCTGCACTGGAAGCGTGGAGCCCTAACCACTGGACTGCCAGGGAAGTCCCTTAATTTACAGACTATTTTAAATCCCTCCTAAAGGGTCAGGAGTTTAGGCAATTAGTTAGAAGGCTTGGCAACTCCCTTCTTCCAGTAACAGTGAAGCACAGGGTGTTATAAGCTTGTTGGGGCTGGAATAGTAAAAAAACAAAACAAGCCCTGTCCTTAAGGCTCTTTCAGTCTAGATCTCTAACAGATGTCAAATAGCATCTGTCAAAAAAAGAGCAAAAGATGGTGCATCACATGGATCAGTTAGGAAGGTCTTTGCAGGTGAGCCTGTCCCCTCTCAAGCTCACCCTCACTGTTTGACTGTCAATCAGTCACCAAGGGTCTTAAAAGGACCTGAGTGATAAAGTGAAGAGGGGGAAGGGCACAGGCCTGGGAGGGTCTCTGGTCAACTTGGCTCCTTGGCTGACTTCTTATCTGCTCTATAATCTTCCAAGGAATTTGCTAACTTTCTATGAAATTTGGCATATGTTAAAGGGTATTATGATATACTCTGGTTCATTTTGTAGTTCTGATACCCTGAAACAAAATGGTGACCACAAAAGATTTTCCGAAAGGTATATCCTGGGATCAAGGCACGAAGGGGAGGAGACAAGGGGCAGCCAGTCTTCAGGTGCGGTATCCAGCGGCTAGCGTGGCCATCAGGCCAGGTGGCCCTCCTGGCCCAGGCCAGGCCAGCCTCTTCCCAACACTGTCTGTTGGGAGCATGGTCAGTGGTCATGACTAAATCCATCGGGGTCCCTGATGCTGAGGCTTACAGGCTACTGATGAAGGTGTGGCCCCAACTGCCCACAGCAAGGTGCTGGCAGGACCAGGGTCAGAGTGAACATCACCGACAGTGAGAAGCACAGCGTTCACATCTCCCCACAGCAGGGCTGCAGTGAACCGATTCTCCAAGACCTGGCCTGCCTTGTGGAAGAGGCCAGAGGAGTTCTGTTGCCTTTCTAGAAACTAATCTTTAAGGGAAAATCCTCACAGGCTATGGAGCAGCCATGGTCGGGACATGGAAAATGCAGAATGATCACCGGGTCACGATAACTGTGACAAAGAACAGTCTGAGGGAAGAGCTGACTTAAAGACGTTGAGTGACTTGGAGAAGTCTGTGCAGAAGACAGCTGACCAACTGGAGGGATGAATGAAAAGCTCCTGGCTCAGCAGGATTTCCTGGCCAAGGATCTGTAACCTGAAACTCTCTGCAAACTTTATAGGAGAGGCAAGCAACAGCTGAGCAACTGGAGGACATCTCTGTAAATCGATTATGCCAGAAAATTTCAAAACCAGAAGTCCAGAAAGGAAGGGATTGGTGGGAAAGGTCCAGGGGCTCCTAGTGACCATGAGCGGCACCGCAGAGCGCAGCACCCCCAGGAAATGGAAGGCTGCAGCCCAGGAGCGTGGCCCTGGCAGCGGGTGAGAGTGGAGGGGCTGGGCTGCCCCAAAGAACAGGTGCCTCCAGCCCTCTCCTCCCTCAGACAGAAGTTGGTTAACAGCTGACCAACTGCTGCTTTGACATTCCTATACCAGTTTTCCACAGAAAAAGCGCTGTCTTTGCAAACTTACTTTCAGCTCCTGCCTGTTTTTCATGGTCTCTACGTGGTTACCCTGCACAGTAGCCTCACCTGGTGTAGAGGGGGCCTTCCCAGCCCACATTACTCTAGCTCTTTTGACCTTTGGGGCATTTCCTAGCACAGGTGAGACCTGACATGTCCCAGGACAGCCCCGAGTTTACAAGGTCTCCTGGTCATCAGGTACCACAGGGCCGGCCATTCGTTCCCCTGCGACATTTGAGCTCGCAAAATGTAAAACCAAAATCACTGGGAAGAAGGGCCCAGCCAAAGGAAGGGAGGAATGGCTCAAAACCGGTGTTTAGGAGTGCTGTTATTCAAGCACTTTTCACGGGACACATTTCCTGAACAGTGAGCTGGACTACTGGCTCCCGGAGCCCAACCCGGTGCACTACCCACCCTGCCCGGCGGGTAGCCGTGTGATGCAGGCGGCACACCCAGCTGGTGCCTGTGCTCAATGCTCAAACCGCCTGGTCCCCAGGCAGATCCCTGGAGGGCTGAACCAGAGCCACACGAGTCTCTGCTGGAAGCCAGGCCAAAAGCACAGCTCGGGCAGGGAGGAGAGGAGCCCCAGCGTGAGGACGTCGGGTGGGTGCTGCAGTCAACCCAATACTTCTCAGGAGAGACACAAGCTTCTTTCCATAGCATCTGTGGGACCTGCTGCCTTTGGGGATTTGCATTTTCTTTAAGGGCACTTTCATTTGTCTCATGTACTATTTTTCTTTTCCTTGTTAATAAGAAGAAATCCATTTTGAACATGAGTTAACAAGCAGAGGAGCGTCCATATATCTGTATATGTATATAGTTTTATTTGTTAAGTATGGAAAGAGTGCTTTGTGGTCCCCGCATTTTATTTTAATGTGGTCACGCATGGCCCTGAGTGGACAGGGTTTTATGGTCTTGCCTTAAACTAAGCGCTGCCATCACCACGCTTCAGCCCCCTGCCCTGAGGGACCAGCTCCTTACGTGCCTGCTCTGGGGCAGGGCTTCGGGGGAGGCAAAGAGGGGATTCCAGTGAGGTCCCAGGATTTCATGACTGGCAGGGTGGGGGCCAGAGAAAGTAGAGGTGACGGGTGAGCAACAGAAAGGCGCTCTAGGCCCAATATCTGCCTTGCCCCTGCTTCGAGCACAATAGCTCAGTTTTCTATATGTGCCTATTAGCTGTGTGACCTCGAGTAAGTTTCAAATGCGTATTTCCTACAGTTGATGAAGCAAAGTGATGGACTGCAGGCAAACGCACCTGGCACAGCGTGAGATACACAGTGGAGGTTCCCAAACTGTGAGCTCTTATTCTGTGTGGATCCCACGTTACAGTTTGTTAGAAGAAAGAGTTTAGACTCACAGACATTGAAAATAAACTTATGGTTACCAAAGGCGAAAGAGAGGGAGAGGGATAAATTAGGAATACGGGATTAACAGATATACACTACTATATATAAAATAAACAACAAGGACCTACTGTATAGCACAGAAAACTATATTCAATATCTTGTAATAAGCTATAATGGAAAAGAATCTGAAAAAGAATACATATACGTATAAATGACTCACTTTGCGGTACACCTGAAGCTAACACAACACTGTAAATCAACTATACTTCAATTAAAAAAGGAATGAGGGCTTCCCTGGTGGCGCAGTGGTTGAGAATCTGCCTGCCAATGCAGGGGACACGGGTTTGAGCCCTGGTCTGGGAGGATCCCACATGCTGCAGAGCAACTAGGCCCATGAGCCACAACTACTGAGCCTATGCGTCTGGAGCCCGTGCTCCACAAGAGAGGCTGCGACAGTGAGAGGCCCGTGTACCGCGATGAAGAGTGGCCCCTGCTCGCAGCAACTAGAGAAAGCCCTCGCACAGAAACAAAGACCCAACACGGCCATAAATAAATAAATAAATAAACAAACAAATAAATTTATTTATTTATTTTTTTAAAAAAGGAATGAGGAGGAGGAGGGGGAGGAGGGGGAGGGGGAGGCGAGGGGAGGGGGAGAAAGTTTGGAAGTCACTGGGCCATCTCCCTCATTTAAAAAAAATTGAAAAATAACGTTGTTAGACTATGTAAAAGCAAAGTTTAAAAAGTATATAAATGCATTTTTATAAGAAAAATTCAAACAAATTACCAGAATAAAATGAAAAAAAAAAGTCTTTGCTTCTCTACCTAGTCTCACTCCAATTTCCTTTCCCCAGAGACATCCATCCACTGTTATCATTTCCAGGCCTTTTTCTTACCTATTTACATATATGAACATGCTTCTCACACAAATGGAATTATACCATATATACTGGGCTGCAGCTTACATTTTGCACCTAATATATGTGAGACGTTTTCTTTCTATGACAGCACATCTAGATCTATCCCCCATTCTACCACTTTCAAACTGCTATACCTATTCCACAGCATGAATTTACCATATTTTATTTAACTATTCTTCAATGATGAACACTGTAGAAATCGCCAACGTTTTCTGCTTTTAAGGCTGCAGTTCACCTCTTTCTTGGTACATTTCCTCTAAACATATCCTAATTGTAATAAAACTCAAGAGTTGATAATGTAATGAGGTATTTGTGACTGAATAAGTGAGGCCTCTATGACTCACAGAATTACTAGTCTTTAAAATGGGGCCTATCCTTAGACAAAATGATGACAGGACATTCTAGAAACATGAAGTACTGCATAATAGACAAACAATAAATCCATACAGAGTATACTGTATGACTATTTGCACAAATTCAGCAAAATCCCTGGGATGGGGGATTAAGCACTTGAGCCAATGGATGGAACCACCACAGTGTGAGAGACTGAAGTGAAGCCCACCCACCCAGGCTACTGATTTCCTGGTCCAGTCTCCCTTAGGACCATCTTACCAGAGTTCCATCTGTCAGGGTACACCCGGAGAAGCGTTTTGCAAGAAACCCCTCAAAGTTAGTCGTTCTCTGAATAGCAAAGAGAAGCAATTTCACTTCAATTTCCTTAGCTCTGGTGCGCATGATCTTGGCCAGTTCTGTCCTTCAAATTAAAGATATAGGAATGTTGTCAAACAAACTGATCATTCAAGATAAGACAGAGTAAGTGGCTTTAGCATATATTATAAAAAAAAAGTATGTGGTCATTTCAAAACCTGACATCTATCACTAACTAAGTTTAATGCTCAGGGAATAGAAATACATATCCTAAGTAACAATTTTAAGATGAAATTATCCACTAGTCAAAAAAAAAAAAACTCAAGGATTATGGACATCAATTTGTTTACATGGGTACTACAATTTTTATCTTTAAACTTTTCAATAATTTGTTAATAATATATATGAAGCATTTACTCAGTATTTTATAAAAATGCATATATTCTATATAATTTCACAAGTCATTAAGTACTGAATTACAAAGCCCTCCCTCTTCCAGAGAGCTCAATAATCACCTCTTCCACCAGACAGCAGGAGCCCTGGAAAGAGACGTGAGAGACGGGAATCCCCACGTGAAAAGTGACATGTACACGTCTGGGTGGTTCCTGCCTGTGAAGCTTACGTGACACTCAAGTGTCCCGTCTCGGAATGTTAAGTGGTAAGGGAGCAGTCACACAAGAGTTCTTAGTAAGTACTGAGCTATGGGTCATCCTTCCTCATAAATAAGTGACAAAAACCAAATAAAGAGTCTCTGAATTTATTTAACAATTATGTATCTGTAGGATTTTAGCCAAAATTCGAATAATGAAAGCTTGGCAGCAACACTGCCATTAGCTGGCGCAATAGCAGCAGATGTGCTGGCTTTTGGGTACTCCCAGCCTCCTGCGGACTTCATTTTTCACAGAAAATGAATTTTGCAAGTCACTGAACTGGAGGCTAAAGCGAATTATTTATCAATTTCTCAAGGAATTCACTCTTTCTTTGCTAATCAGGACTTAGAAAGTCATAACCACAATCAACCTTGAATCAGTACAAAAAGGTTATCTAAATCCAGTGGCAAATGTGCTTCTGAAAACCACCACCAGAAAGAATGTACAGCACCAAGGGTGAACCCTAATGTAAACTACAGACTCTGCTTGGTAATGATGTGTCAGTGTAGGTTCAGCGACTGTAACACAGGGTACGCTCTGGTCGGGGATGTTGATAATGGGGGAGGCTATCTGGAGGGATGGGGCAGCAGGGGGTATATGGGAAATCTCTGTATCTTCCTCTCAATTTCGCTGTGAACCTAAATCTACTCTAAAAAAATACAGCCTATTAAAAAAAAAAAACAACAGCCAATATCCCTTAAGAAATCCCCACCCCCCCACAATGTGCCCTTAAAGCATACAACTTGACTGTACCTATGATTTTAAGAGAGATGACTACCATGAATTACTCTAAGGTGGTTCAGTTATGCTTAGATATGGGACTTTTTAAAAAATTAACTTAGAGTTGGGACTTCCCTGATGGTCCAGTAGGTAAGACTCAGCACTCCCAACGCAGGGAGCCCGGGTTCGATCCCTGCTCACGGAACTAGATCCCGCATGCATGTCACAACTAAGAAGTCCGCATGCCACATGAGGCAACTAAGACTTGATGCACCCTAAATAAACAGATAAATATTTTTTAAAAATAAATTAATAAATAAATTAACTTGGGGCTTCCCTGGTGGCGCAGTGGTTAAGAATCCACCTGCCAATGCAGGGGACACGGGTTCGAGCTCTGATCTGGGAAGATCCCACATGCCACAGAGCAACTAAGCCCACGCGCCACAACTACTGAGCCTGCGCTCTAGTGCGCACGAGCCACAACCAATGAGCCCATGTGCCACAACTACTGAAGCCCGCGCGCCTAGAGCCCGTGCCCCACAACAAGAGAAGTCATGGCAATGAGAAGGCCGCGCACCGCAACAAAGAGCAGCCCTTGCTCGCCAAAACTAGAGAAAGCCCGTGGGCAACAACAATGACCCAACACAACCAAAAATAAATAAACAAACAAACAAACAAATACAATTTTTTTAAAAAAAGAGAGACTATCTGGCCCTGGGCTACACTCATTGAAAGTGAAGACAGGATGAATGAGAGGAGGTCTCTAAAATGCTTAGAACGCTCAGATGCCAATAACATTAACCATCCAAAGACTATAAACACTGCATTAGGGGTGGGAAATGTTCTCAACAACTATCTCCTGAGTGCCTACTGTGTCACTGAAGTAGATATTGCCCCTGTCCCTCTGGAACCACCTACCCAGCAAGTAGAAAAGCAGAACAGGGCTTCCCTGGTGGCACAGTGGTGAAGAATCCACCTGTCAATGCAGGGGACACAGGGTTTGAGCCCTGGTCCGGGAAGATCCCACATGCTGCGGAGCAACTAAGCCCACGCACCACAACTACTGAGCCTGAGCTCTAGAGCCTGCATGCCACAACTACTGAAGCCCACGTGCCTAGAACCCGTGCTCCGCAACAAGAGAAGACACCGCAATGAGAAGCCTGTGCACCGCAATGAACAGTAGTCCCCGCTCGACCCAACCAAAGAAAGCCCGCATGCAGCAACGAAGACCCAATGCAGCCATAAATAAATAGATAAACAAATAAATTTATTTTAAAAAAAAAAGCAGAACAATGATGGATGTATTCTCACTGCACATTGATATAGGTGATACAGACACGTGGGAAAATGTGGGGCACTGAACCACTACAGGGAAATCTGGTTGATGAACTTTTAGTTGATTAAGAAGGCAGGCTGTTCAAGGCAAGGGCGAGGCTATAGGAAAGTCCTAGAGCAAAGATAAGAGCAGACATAGCTGCTGTGTTGGGTATATTTTACTCTTAAGGCAAAACAAACACAAATACAAGTGCTCTGGCTACAATCTACTGGCCCAGGGCTTCTCATGTAACCTTTTCCATGTCTCCTTATCAAGTGTTTACCTTGCCTTCACATAATGTTCTCTCCTCTAGGGCTGGAACTCTAAAGTTGGAGAAGGTGGGATATAGCTACAGCTGGAGTTTGGGACTTGGTTTTGGGTATATAAAATCTGACTTTCAAAAGGAAAGGAGTTCTCTGAGGGGAGTCCAGCACAGGTGAAGACATTCTCATTAAAATGATGACTTTCAAACAAACAAACCAAAAAAGGTGGGAGTAGTACCAAATCCACGAGGCAACACGGAGCCTGTAGAGACTGGGGGATTGGTTTCAATCAACTGGTTTCAACTGATTTCAACCAACACCAAAACCAGTAGAGAGTTGGCATCTACCTTGTGACGTGGCAAAATTCTACTGCAATCCTCTCCGCCATGTACCACTCTCGCGGGAACATCCGGCCGTATTTCTCCTCGTAGTCCACAAGCTGGCGCTTGATCCAGGCATAGCGCCGGTCAATTTTGTCCAGCCAGGCAACCTTGGGGAGGCAGGGAACAAAATCCACCCCACTGCTTAGAAGTAGTATCGACAGTTCAAGGAAATAAGCAAAAACATAGAAGAACCAAGAAAAACAAAACCAATTTCTCACGGTTTCAGAGTCTAGGCTACTTTTTTTTTTTTTCACTTGATCCAGAGGTTCTTAACCTGGGGTCTATGACTGGGCTTCAGGGTTCTACAAACTTCCTGAAACTGTATGCAAAGTTTTATGCATAGGCGCATTTTTGGGGAGAAGATCTGTAGCTCTCATTAATTTCTCCAAAGGGTCAGTGACCCCAAAATGGTTAAGAATTGCTGAACTGTACAGTCAGCCCCTAGAATTCATGGTCCAACAATCAACATTTTAAGACAGTAACACTAATAAAATATAAATCACAGACTTGAGAGCAATCAATTTTCAATAAAATTCAAACGTAACAGGGCTTCCCTGGTGGCGCAGTGGTTAAGAATCTGCCTGCCAATGCAGGGGACATGGGTTCAATCCCTGGTCCGGGAAAATCCCACATGCTGCGGAGCAACTAAGCCCGTGCGCCACAACTACTAAGCCTGCACTCTAGAGCCTGCGTGCCACAACTACTGAGCCTGCAAGCCACAACTACTGAAGCCCGAGCGCCTAGAGCCTGTGCTCCGCAACAAGAGAAGCCGCCGCAGTGAGAAGCCTGTGCACCGCAACGAAGAGTAGCCCCCGATAGCCGCAACTAGAGAAAGCCCACATGCAACAACAAAGACCCAATGCAGCCAAAAATAAAATAAATTTTAAAATAAACTAATAAATTCAAATGTAACATCTGATCTCCTTTAGTCAATACTTACATCTTGGTTTTCTTGAAAAAGTACTAGATACTCTGACAGATGCTGTTTAATAAACTTTTTGATGATTTCCTGCTTGACTCTGGGGTCCAAAATATTAGCAACCAGACAAGCATCTCGTAGGACATTGCTGGGTCCTCCTGGCCTCTGGTAAAACAAACAACACACACCAGTTCAAAAGCCAGAAATGACCTTTAAATCTTATGGCCTCTGACAGCTGCTGCTTCTTGTTCTACTCATGATGTTATTATTACTTCCACTCCCCTGACACTCATTCTTGTGCTGTGGATGGATATTTTAGTTACTTGTTCCTTGACGAAAGAATCATTAAGCTAGTCTGCAGTAGCCAGTATAAAAGCTACTCCATGAATCAGCAATGAGACATTTTAGAAACAGGGCCAGCAATGATGGTAGAAACTTCTGCGATCTGAACTGAAGTCGCCTTGCTGAAGAGCCTTAAAAATCAGAATGATACCAGTCTCACTCCACACATGCCAATTTCCCCTGATTCTAACCTTGGATTCCTGTTCCTAAGGTGCTATATTTGTGCCAAACAGTGTGCTGGCATTTAAAACCTAAATCCAGGTTCTAAACCACCAGCCTTGTCCCACTGATAGTCAACCATGAAGACAGGTAGCCAAAGGTAAAACATTATGATACTGGCCCCTTGACCTGAAAAAAAACAGTAGAAGTAACTATCAAGGGGCTGTATTGATACATCATGGTGGGAAGGCCTTTGTATTACTGAAGGTAACTCAGACTCGCTGACCCTTTCTTTATGGTAACTCACTGAATGAACATGGCTGGCTGAGTGGGCTATAGCGAAAAGAACACTTGGCTCTTGGCTTGGCTAAATAGCCACATAGCTTTGGCACAATTATTGACACTCATCTGAAATATAAGTGAAAAAAAATAATTAGCTAGGTGATGATTAAGGGTCTTCCAAATCTTTATGGCTTCTTTTTTTGTCAATTCTGTCCAATTTATCCACCTCAATTGAAGTTCAAGAGTTTCCTAAGTATTACCTAAGCTGCCCGAGAGCTAAATCGTTAAAATTCTGACTTGCTCCGTGCTGAGTGGCTGTTCTGTCATTCACTGAGCACCCTGACTGCTCAACTCTGGCTTCTAGATGAAAATGTTTGATCTGACAGAGAAGTCACGAAAGCCAAAACCTATGGGCTCATGGGTTCAGAGTTTTTCATTTAAAAAGGACCTAATAGGTAACCTTTGGGTAATTAAAAAAAAAAAATCTTGATTTCCATTTGTGCAACAGTAATAGTAACACAAGGCCTTTAAGAGAAGTCAATAGTCATTCAGAAGGAAAAAAGAAAACTCTTAAAAAAAAGTCACCCAGACAGAGAAAGGGGAAGCAAGTTGTTAAAGAAAACCATTTTTCACCTCATCTGCCGCCTCGTGGGGTCTGAGAAAAAGATATAATGTAGGTCCACATTATTTTTTTCTAAATGATAAAGCTGGGTTTCATCCACATTTTTCTGAAACTTCTTAAAACCAGGGTGAACAGCAGAGTATAGTATAGCAGGCCCTGGACTAAGAAGAGGCTAGTGTTTGTAATTCGTGAATACTGTACAACCCCTTTTTACAGGACAGCTTTCCAATATCCACTCCAGGCAGGTTTCCTGTAGAAGGTAATCTACAAAGCTGGGGCTGCTACCCCCACCTACGTCCTAAGTTTCTTTTATGAGGCGCAAAGAAAAACGATTAAGATATTTCCAGTTATTGAATTATAGAGCAGATCCAGGAAACGTTCCTTGGCTCGGTGAATGAACATATATCCCTCATCTCCACCCACCAAGTGCTGCTTGCCGGCATGTGCTTTGGGTCACTTCTGCGCTGCACAGTTCTTTCTCCTGAAATAGCTCAAATGATAGAGGGGGAAAAAAGCTTCTGAGGGTTCTTCTCTCCCCAACACATGCAAAGCATTAAGATTATGTCTGCTATAATTTGCAGGATGGAGCTGAAGGCAGTTACCCCGGCAGTTACCCCAGCACGGTGATGGCCAAGTGAGGCAAAGCTTGTTACATGAGAAGTGTAACCAATAGCTCACAAGTGAAATACCGTGGGCTTTGCAGACACAACACAAACAGCTATGCTACCAGTGAGAGCTAAAGGGATTAATCCCAAAGAACAGGATCATTAAAAGCCAGCCTCCTAACTGTGTCACTCCAAGAGTTACATAAGCCTGGGGACGTTCCTCCCAGTTGTCTCTTCACCAAACTGAAACCAAAAAGTTATGTAACGATCCTAAAAAACACTGTGGCTTGAAAAAAAAATTATTATTATTATTTTTTTAAAACATAGCCATGAGAAAAAGAAGGAATTTACCAGGCAGACATCTTGGGTTTGACACACATTAAATTAAACTGAAACAAATCCTCACTTTTTGATGCTGGGAGGACACAGATGGGGAATCAATTGTTGCTTTGGGATATTTAAAATCAAGGATGGTCTCATTACCCTGAACCTCTAGCCAACAGACGTTATGGCTGCTGGCAAACGCTTTTGGAATGGTAAATGAACAGTAACTACAGTGAGTGTGCATCAGGCACAAATGGTGATAATATCCAAAGACTGAAGGGAAAATGCAAAACAATACCTTGGTACCCTGGGAAGGAAATGCTTCTTCGAAATCGGCCAGGATTTGCTGTCCTAACTCGGTCTGGGCAGCCTTCACTCTGTAGGGAAAAGAGAACATATCATTGCCTGGTATAAATTTCCAAATGTCCGTAAGTAATTATGCACAGATCCGTAGGGGTTAGAACTGTTGAAGTCTTTAGGGGTCATCCAGGAAGGGGGGAGGGGTGGCTAGATAAGAGAGGTCACACACTAGTTAGCAGCAGGTTTATGACCAGGACGCAGGCATCGGATTCATGCTCACTACGGATTTTCCACATCCCAAAGTTCTCCTGGGCCACCTCTCACCCGTTGGGAGGTAGTATATGTTAATCTTTACAAAATGTCATTGGGGGTAGTTATGCTGCAGGAAAGTGCTACATAACAATGCCCAAATCACATATAAATCCATCCCGGGTTACTGGTATAACTATTCTCCAGCTCCATGGAGTACAGGATGGGAGGAGGGCTCCACAGTGCTTCAGAGTCGCTGTTTTTTCAACCCGCAAACTAATAGCAGGATCCCAAGTTTCAACAAGAGAACAAAAAGCATGTTTTCTAAAGTAAAAAAGATCCAAATGATAAAATGAACTGCTAATTGAGGGTGAAGGCCACTGAATGAAGATTTAAGTTCTCTCAGAAGACTGTGAGGATGAAAACTGAGTTATCCTGAGCATGAGTTAGAACAGGGAAGTCGGTTCTGAACACGGTGGTTTGTATGGAAGCGAGGAGCTCAAGAAATACTTGTCCGCTGAGAGGAAAGAGGAGGAAGGAGAGCAGCTGGGAGGGGAAAGGAGCTACGGGTCAGCCTCCTGTGAGGAGCTTGTCCTCCACCAGCCCCAGGAGTTGGATGCCTCCCACCAGCCATCCTCAGAGCTGGACGGCCCTGAGCCTGCGGCAAATATTTTATCTTTGCTAAAAGCACTGTAAAATAACGTTCTTCCTTTTTTGGTCTCCACCCTGTTACTCTGGAATTAACTTTATGAAGTTTCTAGAAATAGCGAACAGCTCAAAACCACAATTTCTTTGGCTACTAGGCAGTGCCTGGCGACGTACTCAGATTTTTTTTTTTTAATGAGGGGAGAGTCAGGACCCAAAACACTTTGGTTTTTCTATGGCATAGTTATAATTATGCCTTATTCCAAATACTTTCCAGGGTTTTTCCACCATCTTCAAAACTTTTAAAACCACTCTTATAGGTGGGTTTGCAGCCTCTTTAGTCACCTTCCGAGGGGGTTAGAAATGACAGAGTTAAGGCTATCACCGGAGGAGCCCCCAAGGCAGAATCAGGGCCATCCACCTACAGTTGCCCAGTGGACCACAGGAAACATTCCTTGAGTGTGAGCTCTGACAGGACAGAAGAGAACACGCTTTTGTTAAACCGTTGCCTCCAAAGTCTTATGACTCCACATAACGGGCCAGGCAGACAGACTGCCCTGGTGCCAGGTCACAAGACGGAGCTTCCAGAGCCTCAGGCCCCTCTGTTCCTCCTCTCCCCTTGGCAGCGCACAGACAGCACAGGTTCCCTCCTAAGCCACAGGATCATTCCTGGAGGGGGAGCTCCAGCCCCGCCAGGGCCCCTGAGCACTTCAGTGGTAAAGATGGTCCCGGCTCTGCCTCTGTCACCCTACCCAGCCCACCATCCCCTAACTCCATATTCTTAACCAGATTTGAAATTGGGGTGCCTGAGGTAACACGGATGGACCTAGAGATGATCACACTAAGTGAAGTAAGTGAGAAGGAGAAAGACAAAAACCATATGCTAACACGTATATGTGGAATCAAAAATGACACAAATGAACTTATCTATGAAACAGAAACAGACTCAAAGACATAGAGCACAGACTTATGGTTGCCAAGGGGGAGGAAGGGTGGGGGAGGGATGGATCGGGAGTTTGGGATTAGCAGATGCAAACTATTATATTGGGTAAGTTCGTCCACATTTTTCCATAAGATCTTATGAACTTTTTGGCCAACCCAATATATAGGCTGGATAAACAACAAGGTCCTATTGTAGAGCACAGGGAACTATATTCAATATCCTGTGATAAACCATAATGGAAAAGAATATGAAAAAGAATGTCTGTACATGTGTAACTGAATCACTTTACTGTACAGCAAAAATTAACACAACATTGTAAATCAACTATACTTCAATAAAATCCATTAAAAAAAAGAAAAGAGATTGGGTTCCTGAAAAGACAACCAAAGCCTATGATAAATACAGAAGTACGAGGCTGTGATTTGCAGACCCCCTTGCCTTCTTCTTCAGTCCATTCCCAAGGTCACCTCTTGAGAAAGTCTAGACTTAGCTGTGCCACTGGTGAGCTACGTGTAATCCTAATTAAGCCATTTCCCCTATGTGGGCCACGACTAAGAATGGTTGTGAAATCAGAGGGTGGGGATGGAGGCCTGGACTAGATGCCTTTCAGTATCCGCTCCAATCCTGACTATTCTACCACACCCGTCTTACAGCGCTAGCTGGCAGTGGCATCCATCTTTACAGATGACTGGAAGTCGGATGTTTAATTAATGTTGGAGCAGAATAATAATAATAATAATTATAATAATATGTTTCCAAGCATAGTTCCTGAAGTATCTACCAGTGACTCAGATGAAAGAGAAACCATTTCCCTTACTGACAATAACGATGGTACCTATAAACCCAAACCATGATCCGTGTACTTTCAGGGTAAGATGTGAAGAGCAGTCTTTACAATCAGTTGCCTGAGCGGGATCCTAGAAAGACGTCAACATACTTAAAAGAACACAGCTTCGGTCTCACTCCGTTATACTCCTTCCTCTTCCAAAGATGAAAAGTAAGTTCCTACTGGGAAGAGATGCAGCAACAGACTCTGTTAGCGGAGCATATGTGTGAGTTCAGCTACCAAGACTTCCTAGCCATCGTTATGAAAATCAATCTACCACTACTAGAGAAGAAGGGAAATAACAATTCCTCCTGGCGTCCAAATAAGCTCGGCCTGGTTGGGTGGTGACAACTCAGTGCTGACCACTCTTAGGAGATGAAAGGTTCCCTGTGCTGCCCGGAAATGAAGGTGAACCAACCGCCTCCTAGCATCCTCCACGCCCTGTGACCAAGGGTTGTTCAAGGGCGCCATTCCCTAAATGTGCTGTCAGATTTCATAAGGGGTGGCAGCAGAGGGACAGCAAACTATGAAAACCACTTAGACATTTATGGATAAAATAACCCTGATGCTTCCAATACCTTGTGAATGACAGTCCTAAAGAAAATACCCTCAATGATTCGCAATAAACTGACCTCTCAACATACGGAGTGCCAGACAGAATGGTTAGTCAGTCAGATTAGTCAGACGCTCCATCTCCAAACAGACAGAATCTCAACCCAGAATCTTAGAGTGACTCAGTGGGATGCTTTGAGATCAAGTACAACCCTTATACTTTCTTTTGAAACTTAAGTTCTTTCTGTCATAGTCACACAGCTAGCCAGGCCTTTTCTTTCTTTTTTTTTTCAAATTTTATTGAAGTATACTTGATTAGCCAGCCCTTTTCATTCTCCACTTTAGTTTCTTTGATCACTAAGCCATGTGATCCCCTCAACCTGCCAAGTACCTGTCATGTATAAGAGGTTAGAAATAGCCCTGAAAAATATGTTTCAGTTCAACGGTTTCATGGGTTTCAAGAGAATGCAAGAATCTTCCATTCTTCCTCAGGAAATACTGACTGATTACTAGACACATTTGCTTTCATGGATATTCTTAAGCCAGAGGATCTGAAATGTAAAGATGACATTAAAGAAAAAAAATCTTTCCTTCAACGCTACATTAACATTTAAGCATTTTCCAGAAGGGTAGTTGGAAGAAACAGCTATATTCAAATCAAAGCCTATGAACTTCATATGTCAAATGTACAGGCAAAGATTTCAGAACACAACCCTTTGTATGACTTCCACAGTTTACAGACAGCAAGCTATTAAGTTAGAGAACCTGAAGCAGTGCGCAGGACGTAACTCTCCTGCCTTCTCCCCTCCCCCCAAACAAACAAGTTATTTCTATCATTTCCAGATGGTTCTACCGTCACTATGTAAACATAAGGGAGGAATATTCACCAGAAATGATGCTAAAAATAAGAAGTCTGGACTTTCCTCAAACTTTTAGTGCCTCTTGAAAAAGAACTGTAGTCAGACACTGGAAACGAGAGATTCCTTCCCTTCCGTTATTTTTCGTGTTACTTAATAGTATATATTCTCTGTTAATCAACATTTTTTTTTTTTTTGCAAATAGAAGTTGTGAAATGAACTAAAAGAAAAGTAAATCCTCCTGTGTTTGTAGCAACCCTACATGATAATGAATGGCTGGAGCACCAAACTATACTGATAGAATGCTATCTTTTTCTATTTCTAAGGGGAGTGTTATTACAGCAGTGATCACAAAATTCCTTCAAATTTATAAAACCGCTTCTTTGAAAAAAATGTTAAAAGGCAAGGAATCCTAAAAGAGTGCATTCTCTTGTTTGTCCCTATGGTGCTTTTTTATAACTAAAATTCAGTTCTGCCACATTCCTGCCATTCAGCAATGCCCATCTCACGGAACCAATGGGTAACCAACTCTTCCCCACAACTCCTTGACCTCATGGTCACTGTCATGGTATGGTCTTCATCTTTTCTAATCCAGAACATAGCCCCAACCTCCAGTCTCTTGTACCTATGACCCACAAGAGTTTTACAAAATACAAATGAGACCATGCCTCTCCCCGCTTAACATCTTTTATTGTCCACAGATGAAGAACGGATTCTTTAGCGAGGCATATAAAATCTGACCCTGCCTACCTAGACAGACTTTCACCCTCCACTGTCTCCCCAAGTACCTCGATGTTCTCTCTCTCTCCTATTTTTCCCCCCTCTCTCTTCTTGTCTTGGTGGTAAGATCCTACCATTCTTTTAAGATCACATTAAAATTGAATTTTTCTGTGACCCCTATCCTGGACCCCTGAAGGGTCAGCCTATCAATTCCCTGCTGTGCCTGTACATATACTATATCCATCCTATACTGAAATTTTCTATTAGTGTCTCTCACAAAAACGG